GCCCCTCTCCCCCCTACATCAAACATGCCAACTCCACCATCCCCTTAAATCTCTCTGCTTTTCAACATGTTAAAATATGCTTTCACATCTCTACAGTTTTTTTTCTTTCAACAGTGTAATACTTTTGAATGATCCGGATAAAATTTTTAAAACAGTCTTGGGATTAGGTGAAAAGCCTTATCAAAGCTTTAAAACAGAAATAGATGGCGATTTTTATCGATACAATCGACGAAATAAGTCTTATTATCCATTATCGAATACTACACTACTAACCTTCGAATGCAAGATATTAAGGTTTGTTTGAGAGAAGAATTTTTAGTGCAGGATGAAAGAGTGGGAGATAGTTTAGCAATGCACCAACCCGACTCCGAACCTGGATCTCCCAGGTTGATCCGATCATCAAACCCGAACCCGTAGAGAATATCCAGGAGGGTGAAGAATACAGGACCTTTCTCCTTCTCGGTTAGTTTGTAATTTCTCCAGGGAAGTGCAAGCATCTGCTCCTGCTCGGACGGAGAGAAGGATAAAGATTTGTCGTGGGGATCTATCTTCTCATCCGTCCCGGTCAGTTTACTCCAGGTGGGTTTATAGCTGAAAAATTATTTTATTTGTACCAGAAAACACATCATTGATAACATTTAAAAAACTTTCTGTTATAAAAGGTATTTTAAGTTTTCAAAGTTATAAACATTTATATCTTATTCATACTCGATCAGTCAAAGTTTAAAGGGTACCGATGTAAATCGGGCAGTGCCATGTTTGCCAAGAGGGTCACATTATATTACGCTAACACTCCCTTTAAGAAGATTTTCTACATTTTTAGTGTACACTGTATATACATACAGGGTGGCCACAACTTTTTTGAACAAATCCGTACATTTTCAGAAGAAATCCGTACAATCCGTACAATTTTCGAAAAAAAATCCTTACAATCCGTACATTTTTTTTAAAAAAAATCCGTAAAATCCGTACATTTTTTTTAAAAATCCGTACATTTTTTTTAAAAATCTGTACAATCAGTACAATTTTCGAAAAAAATACCATTTTTGAAAAAAACACATTAAAATTCAATTTTTCATTCATTGTCTTTTGTGTTCAGTTCATGTAAGAGGGTTTAAACTTCTTCAGCAAGAATCAATCTGTAAAAAATTGGCTTCATACATATATACAAACT